GACATATAGAAATTAAACAAACAAGCTAAGGAATAGATTCCCCATCTTGCATATAAAATTAGAAGTTCTGCTTCTAATCAAGCTTTTGTACATGCATGCCTCTGTCGTGCCTGTTCCTTAAAATTAAACACAGACGACATTATCTTGGTTTATCATCCCTATCTTATCCATTTTATCTCTAGCTACAATGCCAACTCCACAACGAATTGATTCTTGCCTAGATGCTATCCTTCAAATATGTCCAGTACTGACAATATCGGATTTCCTGAAGAAAGCTTTACTGTAAACACCAACATGTGCATTTCATGAACGTTGCAAACTCACTTCAATAAAATATATAATCAGCAAAGATATTTCCATTCTAAACTTGGGATGCTAGTCGACTAAATTTTGTTTTAATGAAAAAAAGAATAAATTTTATTTTAAATGCTGCTAGTAATTATTTTCATTTGTTTATACTGTCGAGCGCTCAAATAATGCAATTGTAAACATCATATTTTTATAAGATTTAAAGCATTAAAACATCTGTGCGTGTGTGTGTGTTTTATGCTTGATCATTTGATGCTTTTTGTAAATATTAAGGGATTCACTACTAATAAAGCTTGTAAAGGAAGATGTACAGTAACTGCTAGGTGTCACACGAAGACGGCAGTTTCATAATTGATTATGGAGCATTTGTTCTTTTACACACCATTAAAATCTACACCAATAAAGACTGTTCTTCTCCAAGAAAAAAGAAGAAGAAGATAATATATAATACTCCTTTGATCCTTAATATAAGACCCATTTAACTAATTTGATTAGATTATGGAAGTTAGGTAAGTTAGTTAATTATAAGAAAAGTGACATATTTTTTCTAAAACACCATAATCATCTTTCTTAATACTCCTCCGGTCCTAAATGTAAGACCCTTATACTAGTGTGTATAAGGGTCTTACATTTAGGACCGGAGGAGTACTTCTTTTCTCTCTTCTATTTGATTATGGTTGAGGGAGTATCCATGGGGATAATTTAGAGAAAATTAATAAATATGAGAAATGGGTTTTATATTTAGAATAAAAACCAACTCAACATTTGGATCTTATATTAAGGACTGGAGGAGTATCAATATACTGGTTCTGATAAGATTCATTTTATAATGTAATTTATATTACAGAATAAATTGTATATTTAGAACAACATGTAGTGTTTGGGGTGGGGTGGGGTGGGGTGGGGTGGGGTGGGGTGGGGGGGGGGGGGGAGATTAATGAGGAGGGAAACAAATAAATACAAGGAATTTTGCAGAAACGAGATTCTTGTCGTGTGCGTCGTGAGTAATAATGTAGCGTGATTGGTCTGTGTCAAGAAGAAAGAAATCATGTATGCTTTTTAAACTAATGCATAAAACATTTATCCTTCAACTTTTGCAGAAATTCTGTGGTACTACCCACTTCTGCTGCTTCCTCTTGAGATGTCTCACTCATATCTTTGTCACTTGTTCATTTTGATTCAGCCCCTCCTTCGTTTTCTTTCTTAACTCTTGAACTAATTAATGGCGAGTATAAGTTTACACTGATGATTTGACTTTTCTTGGTTTTCCCTTAGACATTGTTTGGATTTGCTTATTTACGTGTTTTTTTTCATGTAAGCCAAGATAAAGCTCTTTTTACACACTTGTCTTATATTTCATAAATTAAAATTAAAAAATTACTTATAAGTCATTCCAAACAAGTCATTATTTCATTTTGGTATTGAATAATCAGTTCCATTTCATGGGTTTTTTTTAACCCCGAAAATTCATGTTTCAATATGATTTGGTGGGATCATGATTGATATTATTGGATTTCTTTACAACTCTACAACTTAATTCTCTATAATTTACGAGACAATTATATGTATTAAGGATATAAAAAAAATGAAATTGAATCATGCTTAATAGATATGTAATCCTATGCAAAAGACAGAAAACACATACTCTCCTTGTACCTTTTTATCTCCCAAGGGACCATACAATATTCATCTCATTTTTCCCGTTCAAAGTGACACTTTGTTTCCTTTTCCCCTGTTTTTAAGGCCTGAACTAATACTCTCCTCCTCATCGTCAGATTTCCACCTTTAGGCCCAATTATTCATTTATGTGGCCCATTGATGAATACCTATATGGGCCATGGTCCACTGTGCAAACATTTCAAAGGGATTCGATACATTTAATCACTTAGTTCCGTCCCAAATAATTCTTCCACCAACTAAAAATATAAAATCCTATTTTTTTTATTTCAAATTTATTATTTTTTAAAGTACCCTTGCTAATAAGGCATATTTATGTGTGCAACACACATTTGTTCATATATAATTTTAACTAATTTTCTTAATATGTGTGAAGTATATATTTTCTTATTTTATAATAAAGTGTACACGGTTAGGAGGAAGACTTATCTCACGCGAAATTAAGCTACTAACTTTTTTGACCGAAATTAAGCTATTATTGATTAAGTGATAATATTATATTGAGATTCAAATATGGCTTAAAATTTTTTAATCGCGTTCGTTATCTGATATGATGGTTTTATTCTTAGTAGATTCATGACCTATTTGAGCATTGAGCATACTAAGCGGTATTTCTTAACAAAAATATTGGCACGGTATGAGCAGTGTTAATCCATCTCAATGTTGAACTCATTTCTGATTAATCCACTAATCATTGCTTAGTCTGATCCAATCACGTAATTCAATTTAATATATATTTTTAAAATTTAATATAATTTTTAGTTTCTAAAATTTAACCTCATTTTGATTTTGATTCCTAATATTTAACTTTATTTTGATCTGCTTAAAGGTTTTTAGTCTATAAAATAGTAATTTTTTCAAGAACCAAAATCAAAATGAGATTAAATTTCAAAGAAAAAATAATTGGTTTTAAATTTTGAAGAAATTTCAAGGACTATAAATGATATTAATTTTATTTTTAATTAACATTTCATACAAGTAGACCAATGAGACCAACTAATAAGATTGGATTTAGCAGAATAGGCTAATCCCTCATAATATGGTGAACCAAGATTTAAATCTCTACTGGGAGATGTGTTTATATTTAGTGTCTGATAGTACCTTGAATATGATTATTTTCAATAAGAAAATATCTTCACCTAGGGGGAAAAAAAGTAGGTAAATGAAACCGAGCGAGAATTTTGACCCTTAATATTAGTCTTCAACAAACATTCTTTTCTGGGTCAAGTCTTCGCACAAACATGAACTGCGTGTACATTTGCATTGAAAAAGCCAAGTTTGTGCTTCACATTTCACTCCAGCGCAACGTCAAGCCCACAGACAAGATACATTAATACAAATTATAATATTTAAATTTGCACTTTTCCTGAATTATTGTTGTTTCGTTCAAGATTTTCACATATTTTCATAAATTTCAACTATTAAAATGATGAATATAATTTAATTAAAAAAATTCAAGCTTTTTTTTACTTTTCCCGGGATATAGATATTTAGCTCACATGGAAAATCAGGTTTTTCTTTTCGGCCCCCAAAAGGGATATATGGTTTCTGTTATGTGGACTTCAAAATGTAATCTGTGGGCTAAAGCCTAAAACACCGGAGGCACAACGCGCTGCTGCCCCACTGGGGCACCCGCAAACGCGATGTGATGTTCCACTTGCAAACTACTCTCTCCAGTTATGCATATAATATTTATTTTGATTTTTAGATATAATATTTTAATATATTTTTATCTCCAAGACTTAATACTCCTCCTGTCTTAAATATAAGATTCATTTTGTAGTGTAATTTATATTGTAAACTAGGTCTTATATTTAGAATCAGATACGTATTATTTTTCCCAATCCACATGAAATGAACTTTCTATTATTTAGAGGAGAATTGCCATGAAGTTTTAAGTAAGAAATATACTAACTAAAAAGTTATAACGGCACAGATCAGTTTGCAATGACAAATTCTAAGATAGCAAATGATAATGGTTCACTGATCATTAAAACTTACTGATAATTATTTTCTTTCATTAGCATCATATTGTAAATCTCCGTATATTTGGAGTTAGAGGGTATATATGTAATAGTGGCTTGAGACTTGAAATGTTAAAAAAACTTTCACCACCGCGGTTGGCGGGGAACTATAACTCCAATAGTATTTGGAAGATGGATGTCTTGAAATGGATGACTATTTCATCTTTGGAAATAATAATTTTAATTATATGAAATGACAATAAAATCTCTAGCAGTAACCACTGCAATTATGAACTTTCAAGTTTTAATAGTAGTTTGGAGATGGATTACTATCATCATCGGCTTCATGAATATTATTTATGGTAAAATTGGCTCAACGCATGGATTGTTGCAGAGTAGGATTCTGGCTTAAAAATGAAGAAGAGGGAAGGAAGGATCATGAGAGTCCATTCTAACTTTTAACGATATGATAGATACAATCCACTAGAAACGTGTTTTGGGAAATTTGGCATCTCATAAAGCTACCCAGAGACTCAGAAGTCAGACAAACCCATCACCCCATATCATGCATTAATTCAGAGTAACAATGTGAAACTAGAAGTTTGATGGATGCTTCCTCCTTCCTTCCAGCTTCCCCACTTTCTTCTGTTCAAATTAAACAAATGGCTTACCTTTCTTTTTCCTTATCCTTGCTTCATCCGAATAGTCCACAGAATCCGAGTTAATTTGCTGATGCAAGACCTGACTTCAAGTGGCCCACACTGTGACATGAACAAGCCCGACATGCGAGTGTACAGTTATTACTTGAACTTTTTATGGCAAGGAAAGTGCAAAGAATGTCCCGTTGTCAACATCACAATCCTTATGTGATACTGTTTCGTCGCTAGATTAGTGTCATCTTCTCTTTGTTTATTACCCTATAAATACCAGAACTCCCTTCCCAAAATAACCATCCAAAACCAGAGAAATCATATTCCTCTGCTTCTCTGGCTCTGTTTCCATTTTCGCCACGAACACCCCACGATAGCATACCTTGATTTGAGACGATCAAGAAGGAAAATTGGCGAGTGATTCCATATGGGCAATTGTGCATCTTCTCAATACACAAGCGAAGGAGGAAATTTGAGTTGGAAATCCAGCGTGAACGTAATAGACATGGAGGGCAAGCTTCAACAACTGAAGGAAACGAAGAAGGCGGGGCATGTTCTGTCTCAGAACCTAAACTGTTTTATGTGCAGCTCCGAATCCATGTACATTGGGTCTCCCATACCTCATGTGGATCCAAGTGAAGAGCTTCAATTAGGACACATTTACTTCCTATTGCCTCTCTCTAAATCCTATGGAACACTTTCGCTTCAGGATTTGTGTGCTCTGGCCATCAAGGCTAATGCAGCTCTTGTTCATTCTCACACACCTTCTGCTGCTAATTCAACCGCTTCTGCCACCTATTCAATCTCAAGAAAATCATTTTCACTTAAGCACAAAAATCTTGTCAACAATTCAGGTCTTCCATGTGTCTCTTTGAGAGTTTGAAGGTAGAATTTTGACATGAAATCAAATCGAGTCGTTGAAGGAAGCGGATTGGAGGCATCAAGAATATCCAGAGTACAGCCAGAGGACAGAAGGAAGTGGGATAGAAAACCAACATGCTGAGAGATGACTGCTGCTAGTGTTGTGAGATCCAACGGTTCTGACGGCCGGAATTAAAAGTGTTAATCATGTTTATGTGTAAGGTTTTTTTCTTCATTAATTGTGATTCGTGAGAGTTTGAGTCCATAAATATTAGCTTAATAGGCCTTGACCATCTGAGAAAGATCTGCTGTACGTAATTTTCTTTCTTTCTTTCTTTCTTTTTTTTTTTTTTTGGCCACCACGTCCAGATTTTCGAACGTACCTGTCAATTGTTATCATATAACCTGTACGTTGCAGAAATCTTCACAAAGAATGCGGCTGACTTGAATCTGGGTTTTGAGGTGGCAATATTGGGTCAAGATCAAAGAACTTATCATGAAAATATGAAAAATCATCCATCTTTTATATCTTTCATAAATCATTCCCATCAATCTTTGGTACCGTGACGTCCGAGACCACCTTAGTAGAACCTAGTAATTTTAATGTAGTCCAAGTTAAAAACGATTTCAGTAGATGTCATTGAAAGCATATGACAATTCATAAGATATAATGAGATATTCTAGCATGAGTGCGTGTGAGAGAGAGAGAGGGAGAGAGAGATTGAGATCGGCAATTGGGCTTGTTGGGTCCTATTGCTATTGCAGACAAAGTAGATTAAATTCCCCTGTGCTCCCGTCATTCATGGCCATTACGGATATTCAATGTTGGAGAAGGTCGATTCATGTGACCGTGGTCAAATCTAATAACAATTTAACACACTAAGTTCTCTTAATTTTTCTTTTTTGGAAATTGTTTAGATTGATATAGAGATAACTAACTTGTAAGAAAGAATGATGGAACAAATATATTTGAGAGACCCAAAATAATGGACTAACAAAGGCCAACGTTAACGGAAAGGAAGAGACAGGAATCTCCCAAAGTCGAAATTTTCAACCTCAAAATCCTCCCATCTGCACATGTTCATTGGCAAAAACATTCACCGTACCAGAAATTTCACTTGAAAGGCCACCTTTATCCTCTTCACTCCTATATATATCTGAACTCTTCACACCAGAGATATATCCAAATCCACCCCGGCAGAACTTTCTTAGTATTTCTGTTATCTCTGTTTCACTCATACCCAGATGGGCTCCTCCGCTTCTTCTCAATGCAAAAACAAATATGGAAACTTTAGCTGGAAATTCAAAGTGAGCATAGTTCATTTTGATGGTAAGCTCCAACAATGGAAGCAGCCATTGAAAGCAGGGTACGTTCTGTCTCAGAACCCAAACAGCTTCATCTGCAGCTCAAATTCTATGTACATAGGCTCACTATTGCCTCATGTGGCTCCAAGTGAAGAGCTTCAAGTGGGTGAAATATATTTTCTCATACCACTTTTTAAATCTGATATCCCGCTCTCACTTCAAGAGTTAGGCGCATTAGCCGTCAAGGCTCATGCAGCACTTACCCACTCAATCAATAAATCTTCTTATGTTTTACTCTAGGGTTGTTTTACACACCCATAACGAGTAGTAATTTTCATATTAGAGATTATGATAAGGCTGTGATTGAATAATGCTTGATGTAGTTTTCATCGTAACCACTAATCCCTAATCGTTCTTAGTTTTAGAGCTTTGTAGAAGGAACCGGTTGATAATTATTCTAGCTGCATAGGAGGAGAAGAGAAGAAAGCTTTTTCCATAATAGTGCTTTTACTTTTTGCACCATTAACTGGAGTTCTCAACTTGATATTATAAGTAAAAAGGCATATATTACTTTAGTGGAAATCTGCAAATTGTTATGCTTATCATCTCTACCACTGAATCTGAAATTGTAAGGTTGTGAAAAGTTCACAGAAAGGACGTTATGGATGGCTAGCTAGCTTCCGAGAGAATAACTTTTCCATCATGCTTGGTTTTCATCTTGTGAGAAGTGTTTTGTTTATCATCCTATTTGCAGCTTTTGGCAACAACCAAGTTCATGGAGTACATTAAGTTATCTTTGACAGCTAGAGAGAGAGAGAGAGAGAGAATTAGTCACTGTATTTAATGAGATTTGACATGTGAGATTAAATAGGAACGCGTTTATCAATTTAAGATTGGGTAGCAGTGAAGAGTATGAATAATTTCCAGGTAGTTGGTAGCATCATAACTTGTTCAATGAAATAAAAAAGCACAAAATTTAAGAGAATCTGCTGTGTTTTTGTCCGTTCAATTTAGAGTTGGGATGAATATGCTCGTTGCTGGCCATCCGTTGGAGCATGGTGACTCTCAATGCAAGTTGGCTACATCAAATCAGTTGATGATAGCCCACACCCATCATACTTTTGGAATTTGTTCTTTTTAACAACATATAATAAGGGAGAATTGTTATCAGGTTTCAAGGAAAAAAAAAATAATTACCAAAACTTACAATAACAACTAAGGAGTTATCATTTTCTTTACTAAAACTTGTCATTACAAATTGTTCTATTGTCATTAGAATTTTTTAATCATAATTTATTTTTTTAACTTTATTACAATTCTCTCTATATAATATCCGTGTACCGTATGTAACATTTAAGTATAAAAATGAGAAGTGAATTATATTGCAACAATTTTGTATAATAACATGAGTATTTATCAAAATTTAATTTGATCTTCGTCCGTGATTTTCAAAAGTCGAAACAAAATGTGTATGTAATTAACATACGTTACACAGGGTGATGAGCATATATATGCTGTTCCACCTCTTCAAGACTCCTACTCCACTCAATCTGCGGAGATAGATTTTAAAGCTTGGGTATGATTATCAGCGAAAAACAGAGACATTCCGCAGTTATCGACAGTGTAATTATATTATAATAATGAATATGATGATAGGTAATCAATTCCCCTCTGTAGTTCAGTGATCTCATTCTCGTTGATGCGTATTTTGGCTTAAAACTCAAGTTGATCTTACTCTCCAATCCAACCACTTGGGAAGTAAGACGTGCTCCAACTAACATCAAAGAAACGAAATAAGACAGATATCTCTGTTTGGAGTTTTACACACACATTTAAATAGTAATTAAAGTAATCTCATATTAAATTAAATATATACTTATTAAGATGGTAAAACTGAACTAGCTGCGCTTTTACATGCCACAAAGAATAATCCTTGTTCTCTTCCGCCAAAAAAGGGTCATCCAGTAACGGCTCACTTCTGGAAGAAATGATTATACATGTTTCCAATCCTCCATTTTAGTGACTCCCCCTATATTTTAAGCTGCCGCACAGGTTCTTCCAACATGATTTTCCTGTTTGCAGGAACAATTCTATCACAATCATCAACTTGCTTCCTCAGCACATATCAGCCTCAGAACTAATGAGACATCTATACTTAAAATAATCATATTATAACCAAATCCTACATTCTTGTTGGATACAACATGATATTTCAAATCATCATTTAATATAAAATAAAAATATTCTAATAAGCCTGTGAGCCACTTTATTTATAAGTTGTGAACCGTGCAATTTGTTTATTAGATTCCATGTAATGCAGGCACCCATATCTAATTGCATTATATATCGTGTCATGTGTCGGCTCTGTTACCTTTTAGATCCCATATTACTATTTGAACTATAACCTTACCTGCTTCCAATGTGTTTTAATTACTATGATTCTTCGGCGAAGGTGATGGTGATGCAGGAGGCTTCAAGTCTTCATACCTGGATGTTTACGAAAATATTACTACTATGTATACAAATAGGAAAACAAAGTATATAACTGTTTCTCCAACATAAACAGACAAGGATTCAACAGCATTAATTATTCAAGATGTCCACCTGAATATAATGATGAGAAACAAAGTCAGATTAAGTCCCTTCAAGCAAGAAGAAACTCACATGGTAAAAGGAGAAAGAGGTCTTGTCTTTGGTTCATCAAGATCTTGGTCATTGCTTGGTTTATCTGCTACTGGAAGCTGAGTTACTGGGCCATTACCTGAATTAATCTCAGGCACCAATGAGGGCGATACCCTAGGTGCCATTGGGGAAGGCGAAGAAGGAGGCTTAAAGTCAGGGTATCTGCAAACATAGCAGGCCTCAGAGAAGAGGAACGTAAAGAAGAAAATCAAACAGAGTTTGTACAGGACATCTAAGAACTAGGGCAACTGAACTACAAAAATGAAAACCAAGCAGAGAATTGGAAAACTGACAAGTTGAAGTACAGCTGAAGTGACAAGTGAAATTAGACTCACACGGGGTAGGGAGAATAATAAGATTTTGATTCCTGAGAAGGACCAGGTTCAGTGAAACGGGTAGATGTAGTTTTTTCAGCTGCTGGAGATTGGTGGTGCAAATCCATTGTTGAGGCAGCAAGAGGTTTGTCATGGAAGTGCTTGGTGTAGGGCTTGGCGAAGTGGGAGGCTTCAAATCCTCATAGCTGCCCAACACAAAAAACTTGCTGGTAAAAAACACAACAGTGAGCATTAAATTTGAGAAAGAGAAACAGCATTTATATATAATGACGTACGCTGCATATGGAGAGCGAGACTCTGCTGCCTGTCCTGCTGAGGCAGATGCCTGAGAAATGCCATCTTTTTCTTGAGCGCTACTGGGAGTATCAGAAGCACTAGGTTAGGCACTGCATCAGGTTCACCGGAGAAGGGGATGATGGTGGTTTTAAATCCTCATAACTGAAAAAGGTAAACAGAAAATTTATGCGCTTACAGTCCACAGGAGCCTTTATCTAGAATCAAGCACACGAAATGCCAAACCAAAATGTTCGGATCTCATATGGCACATTTGTGTCCTAACTTCATTGCCAGACGACAACATGAAACTAAACTATAGAAGAGTTATATAACTAATTTTAGAGGAAGAAAACGGATGAAACTA